CTGCCTGGCTGTGTGACCCTGGCAAGTGGCTTGCCCTCTCTGAACTCTGGTTTCCTTTTCAGGGACAGGGGAAGAGCCCGTGGGCAGGAGGCTGGCAGAGGGCCTGGTGAAGAGGCCTCCCTCCTCTCCACCCCCCCTCCTTCAAAGGGGGCAGGAGGGGCTGTACCCCTTGTTGTGTAACATGTATTTACTTTTCTCGCAGGACAATGGGAAGGATGGAAAAATCAAGCTGGCCTTGGGGCCCGGTGTGCTGACTCATTCAGCCCCAGGCTGGGGGGGCCGGGAGAGGCCCCCCCAAAAAACAGCCTCCTGGGGCCAAGAGGAGGCCAGGCTCTGGCCAGCACAACAGGAGAGGGTCCATGGTGACTCAGATGCTCTGCCTGTCCCTGAGTCACCCTGAGAATCCACCTCACACACATACACACACACCCCGTTGCTCCCACCCCCACCCCCCTTAGCCTGCCCCTGCTGGCTGGACACCCGTCTGTCTCTGCTCCAATGACCCCCTGCCGGCCCGCCCTGGATACAGGTGTGCACCTGTCCAGTTGTGACTGTTGTCACAAGATTGAAACGAATCTCTGCCGGGGTGGGGTAGCGGCTGCCAGGAGTCCCTCCCTCCCGCCCGGCCCCTCCTCTAGGACCCGCCACAAAGGGGCGAGGCCCTGGCGCTGCCCGGGCCTCCGCAAGAGCCCCACAAGGCTCGGTGGCTGGCGTCCGTCGCTCCCACCATCTGGATCTCGTCTCCCAGCGCATCTTGTAGACCCAGCCTTCCGGGTTTCAGACACCTCAGCTTGAACCCCGGGCTGCTTGTGAGACCACCTGCACCCCGTACATGGCTGTCCCCTGTTCTCTGAAAGGACGTGGGGGGGAGTCACCCTGTAAGGGAAGAGTGGAGCTGCCCGGACGCGGAGCCCTGCAGGACAGGCTGCCCAACCAACCTCCTGTCCACGCCCAGCCCGTTTCCTCCCTTCCTCCCTCCCCCCCTCCCTCCCGCAGCTCTGCCAGACTCAAGCTGTCCAAACCAGTGGGGCCGCATTCCCGGGGCAGTGTCCGTGATGCGACCCACCCTGTGCCCGCCCAGGTCAGGAGGTCAGGACCCCTTTTCCCCTCCAGAGCCCGGAAACCTAAATAAGGGATGGAGTTGGGCCCGAAAGGGCAGAACACAAAAATCAAGCCAGGTTTGAATGGTGGGTTTGGATCCCGGCTCATCCGTGATGAGCTGTGTGTGATCCTGGCCCAGTGACTTACCCTCTCTGTGAAGCAGGAACTACTCCTCTGTTCCCTAGTTGTGCTTTCCCCTCTCAGAACCTCAGTTTCTCCATCTGAGAAATGGGGACCTTCGGATACCAGCTCCACAGGGTATATTTTCTTTTGGAGTCAATACTTGGGGATTGACCTCAAGATCTTGGGCTTACCAGGCTAATCCTCTAAACCACTCCTTCAGCATTGATTTTTTTCTGTTTTGGTTCCATTCCTAGGGCTTGAACTCATGGCTTAGGTAGGCATTGTCCCTTAGCTTTTTTTTTTCCTTCTGAATGCTGGTGCTCTACCACTTGAACCATATTTCCACTTCTGAGTTTTTGCTGGTTAATTGGAAATAAAAGCCTCACAAACTTTCCTGCCCTCTGTCCTTAGATCTCAGCTTCCTGAGTATCTAGGATTACAGGTGTGAGCCACGGGGGGCTTGGGAAGCACAACCACATCATAAAAGATGAAATAGTGCTGTGGTATGGTGAAGTGTACCCCTGTCAGCCTAGGCTTCACAGGCAATGCTGGCAGGAGAATGGAGAGTTCAAGACCAGCCTGGGCTGAAAAGAAAAAAACAACACACACACACACAGTAAACAAAATAGGTTGGGTGCCTGTGGCTCATGCCTGCCATCCTAGCTACTCAGGAGGCTGACATCTGAGGATGGAGGGTCAAAGCCAGCCCGGGCAGGAAAGTCTGTGAGACTCTTATCTCCAATTAACCACCAGAAAACCAGAAGTAGTGCTGTGGCTCCAGTGGTAGAGCGCTCGCCTTGAGCTGAAGAGCTGAGGGACAGCGCCCAGGCCCAGAGTTCAAGCCCCACGACCGCCAAAACCAAACAAACAATAAACAAAATAAGTTGGAGCTCAGGGCTCACACATCTGGGGGGGGGGTGTCCATTCCATGTTTCCTGGCTGGCCTGTCCCCTGTCCCCTGTCCCCTGTGGATCTGTGTCTGCCCTTTGTTCCCTCTCCTGCTGAGCTCAAACATTCCTGCCTGGGACCCAAGCGGCCAAGGCCATTCTCTGGTCACAAATTCAGGCTTAATCTCCTGCCTGGGCCTGAGCAACAGTGATCAACTCACATGGCAAAGCCAGTGAGCTCTGCACAGTCCCTCCCTCCTCCTAGCTGGTGCCTCCTGCCCCACCCCCTATCTCTGCTGCTCTGTGGGATACTGGGGGTGGGGGGGAGGAGGAGCCTCTCCATGGAGCATCTGAAAGACAGATGCTCTGTGTACCTCAGGGCTGCCAGCCGCAAGGCCCTGAACTTGTGGCTAGTGCTCAGGCAGGGGTGGGGGGCAGGAAGGGGGACAGGGGGCGGGGTCAGCTGGGGATTTTTGTTTTTATTTTCTTTTACTATTGCTTGTGTGAATGTCATAGAGATGCTTTTTTTTTTTATTAAATAGATATCTCTGTTCGTAGCTGCACGTGGTTGGGGGTACATGGGCTTCAGAGGCCCCAGTGACCCTCAAATCTCAGCCTCTTGAATCGTTAGGATTACAAGGATTAAAAGATTAAAATAGTTTAGAGCTGACTACCGTCTTTGTGCGAGCAGTTCCTAGCCATTCTGTGCAACCCTCACCTCGGTCAGGTTCCGAGCAGCTTCCTCCCTCTGGGAGTACTTTTGAGGATTAAATTCGCTGCTGTTTGTACATCTTGAAAGCAGTGCCTGGGCTGGGCACCGGAGGCTCACGCCTGTGTCCTGGCAGCTACTCGGCAGGCTGAGATCTGAGGATCACAGTTCGAAGCCAGCCTGGGCAGGAAAGTCGGTGAGACTCTTACCTCCAATCTCAAAAGAGTTGGAAGGGGAGCTGTGACTCAAGTGGTAGAGCACTGGCCCCAGGAGCAGAGAAACTAAACAAAAAGAAGCAAAAACAAAATCAAAATGCAACAGTGCCTGTGATGGAAAGTACTAGAAGATGTTCAATGGGTGGTGGGATAATCGATAATAAAACAGAGCTGAGAATAGTGACACTGGTAGGCAGTGGCATTACCTCCTTGGATACAAGAGGGAGCCCTATCCTCTCTCCCCTGGGTGGGGTGGGGGGGCATTTTTCTCTTTGAAAGAAGAGGTGCGGGGGTATCTTTGATACCAGTGATCCCCAAAGAGTCTCATACTGACCCTCTGCAGCGCTGGGGGTCCAGCCATGAGGCTGGTTAGGAGGGAACTTCCCTTGAGCCTCATCACAGAACTGTCCTCCACCCCAGCTCTTCCCAGAGCCATGTGCTGTGGTTTGCTGCCTCCCCGTGGCATAGATGAGAACTCTGCACCCGTCTCCATCCTAGCTGTCTGTCTTTCCCTGGAGCTGTGCAGCCCTGTCAGGTCCCCAGAGAAACCCAGAAATAAGTCAAACGAATACGCTGTTTAAAATTGCACCCTCGCTCTGGTGGCTTCTTGAACCTCTTTTTTTGTGCGGCATTTTTATTGTTATTTGGCACTGGGGTTTGAGCCTTGCCCTGCTTAGACAGGGGCCCTATCCCTTGGCCCACGCCCCCAGACTTTTTCTGTTTTGCTTTAGACATTTTTCCCCCTAATAGAGTCTCTTTTTATTTATGCTTGCCTGGTAGCCAGATGTGCAGTATTATCATGCCCAGAACTTATTGGTTGAGATAGGGTTTATTGAACTTTCTTGTCCAGACTGGCCTTAAACCACGATCCTCCGGATCTCTGCTTCCCAAGTAGCTAGAATTACAGTCGTGAGCCACCGCACATCCCACGTGGGATAACCTTGATCGTTTTCCCTCAGGAGGGCAAGGATCTGTTTCTTGGTGAGTGAACCAGCGCTCGATGATGCGGAGGGAAGGACCCAGGCCGAGCGGGGATCCGATGGGCTCCTAGGCGCGACCAGGGGAAGGAACGGGGCTGGAGCCCAAGGGCAGCGGCTGGACCAAGTCAGTCTGACCCAGGAAGACGAGCATGGTTCGCATTTGCCGGGTCAACCGCACCAGGAGGGGCGGGGCGGGGCAGGAGCGCCCGGGGCGGGGAGAAAGGAGGACTGGGGAGGAGTGTAGGGGCGGGGTCTTCTAGGATTGGGCCATTCTGGAGGCTGGCTCCCTCGGGGGGCGTGGTCACGGCGGGCGTGGTCAGAGGGAGGTGTAGGCGAAAGGCTGGGGCAGGGCGTGGTCAAACACGAGGCCGGCAAGTGAAGGGGCGTGACTAAGGGGAGGTGGAGCCATCCTGGGGAGGAGCCATGCCGGGAAGGGGACCAGTCAGGAGCGACAAAGGCGGTGTGGGCGTGGTCTCAAGGGGCGGAGCCATTCAGGGGGTGGAGCCAGGCTCCTGGAGCGGTCCGGGCGGGGCGGGTCTCGCTCTGGCTCCGGGAGTTTTCCTCCCGCGCTCGCCGACAGGACTGAGCTGTGCGCCGTCGCCGCCCTGCAGCCAGGTCCGGGCTTCGCCTGCGGTGCTCCGCTCAGGGCCAGGCCAGTATTAGGGCACTTCCCCCCCCCCAGCTGTGTCCCCAGAGGCTCAGGGCGAGAGTGCATGGGCGTGCATGCCTGTGTGTGGGTGCGCGTGGGGTTGGGTAGGTGCTCGCCCTGGGTGGCTGAGGGCGCGTGGGGTTGGCCGGGTGCGTGTGCAAGGGCGGTCTGGCGTGGGAGAGGTTGTGCATTGGTGCACGCGTGGCAGGCAGGGAAATCTGGGGGTGGCTGTGTGTGTGTTGGGGTGTCTTGGAGAAGATCTATCCCAGTCACCTCACCAGTCACCCCTCACTCCAGGCTCTGTGGGTGCTCCCCCCCCACCCTCCGTCTTCCGGGGTCTTCGAAGGCCATCATGGTGCAGAGATACCAGTCTCCTGTCCGTGTCTACAAGTACCCCTTTGAGCTGGTCATGGTGGTGAGTGACCCCGATTCTCCTGCCTCTCACGTGATGGTTGGAGGGGCTCAGGAGGTCAGCCAGGGTGGGAAGGAGAGGGAGACCCCAAGACCCCCAGACGTGGAGCTGTTCAGCTACTCTGCTCCTAGGGTCAGGCTGTAACCTGTGACCCCTCTTTCTTTTTTTTGGGGGGGGTCTGGTCGTGGGGCCTGAACTCTGGGCCTGGGCGCTGTCCCTTCAGCTCAAGGCTAGCACTCTACCTCTTGAGCCACAACGCCACTTCCGGCTTTTTTCTTTTTTCTTATGTGGTGCTGAGGAATCAAACCCAGGGCCTCAGGCATGCAAGGCAAGCTCTCTACCACTCAGCCACCTTCCCAGCCCCCATGACCCCCCTTTCTAACCACCCACTCCCACCGGCCACCCAACTTCTGAATCCCTGACAGTGGCAGAACACAAAGCTTGCCCTTGGTCTCCCTTTGGTGAAGATCACCTCTCCCTCGCTTCACACCCTCCTGCCAGGAAACAAGGTGGTCACCGAGCCACAGGGTCCTTTTATGCCTTGCTGGCAATGGGAACAATCATGGAAGCCACCCTGCTGACGGAGTTAGCCCATGGTTTGTTACACATGTCCAGGGTTGAGTCCGCACATGCCTGTTGTCTGTGAGCCATTCATTGGTCCCACTTCACCTGGGTAAACTGAGGCTTGAACAGGTAGCAGGGTAGCCTCCTAGGAGAGATTGGGTCAGATGAGCCCAGATCCAGGAATTGCAGAGCCTCCACGTGGGACAGGGCAGCACCGGAGTCTTGCTTTCTCCCACAGATTTCCCCCCCTCATTTTCTTCACCCAGTACAGGCTCTTTACTGCTTGAGCCACACATCCACTTCTAGCTTTTTGTTGAGATCTCACCCTCCCGAATAGGCATGAGCCACCAGTGCCCGGCTTATGGCTGGCCTTTCTTGCAGTAAGTTCAACTTGGCTCCGAAAGTGTGTTCTCTTAAGTGAAGGGTGGGCTCCGTTCCCTCCCTCTTCACGTGTAGCCTATAGATGTTGTTGTACCAGGTGGGATGCCATTTAAAGACAGAAACACAACAAAGTCCCTGGCTCAGGTGTGGCAAGTGTGCGGCATGAGTTCAATCACCAGGAACACATGCCAGAGATTTCCGGGCATTTATTTTCTATGTCTGCACGAATGTAAGGCGTCATCTGTCATTTCCAGAGGCTTGGCACAGCCCTGTGCTCTTATGTTCCGTGCTGTCTCTCTGCCTTGATCGCAAGCCCTGGTGCATAGAGGACAAAGCCATTTTACCACGGTTGTACAAAACGCCATTGTCCCCCACATAGCTTCATAACTCTGCATTCCTCGTGTCCTGGGGAGCACAAAGGGGTTTTCTGCCCTGATCCTGCCTCTTCTGTCCTCATGCTCCGAGTGGCGTGGGTCGGAGCCTGGAGCCCGGGAGGTTTCGAACAGACTCAGCTGTTTCCACAGGCTCTGTCCGAGCTCTGTCTGGGCAGAGCTGGCCTTTTGTTTCTGTTTAACAAATCTGACTTGAGCCACCAAGCTGGGCCTTTAGAAACCACTTTATTGAGGTACAATGGATGTAGGAAGCTCAGGTGTTTTGTTTGGGATTTTGGGGCACTGGGGTTTGAACTCAGAGCCTCACCTTTGGTCAGGCTGACAGGATACCACCGAGCTATAACCACAGCCCTGTTTTTCACTGTTGTTTATTCATGTATGTACTTTGTGCGTGTGTGTGTGCCAGTCCTGGGGCTTGAACTCACGGCCTGGGTGCTGTCCTTGAACTTTTTTGCTCAAGGTTAGTGCTCTACCACTTTGAGCCACAGCACCACTTCCAGTTTTCTGGTAGTTAATTGAAGATAAGAGTCTCACAAACTCTCGGGCTGACTTTAAACTGTGATCCTTAGATCTTGGCTTCCTGAGTAGCTAAGATTACAGATGTGAGCCACCGATGCCCGGCAGCATCGGTTATGGGGCCTGAACTCTAGGCCTGGGTGCTGTCCCTCAGCTCTTTAGCTCAAGACTGGACCTCTACCATTTGAGCCACTTCTGGCTTTTTCTGCTTATGTGGTGCTAAGGAATCGAACCCAGGGCCTCTTGCATGCAAGGCAAGCACTCTACCACTGAGCCACCTTCCCAGCCCAGCAAACAGATTTTAAGAGGGAGTAGAGATGAGGCTTTACAGCCCAGGCCAGGATGCAGGTACAGGGAGAATGGTTGCTGTGGACATTGTTCAAACAACACAGCAGGGACCTTATTTAAATGAGTTGAAATTAGTTCCCTGGGGTTGTCAGGAGATCCACTGCTAGCAGACGAAGCAAAGCTACTCAGGTTTAAGCTGGGAGAACCAACATGATCACTGCCCTGCAAAGGGACTTTCCTGATTTCAGAGGACTTGAAAGGAAGCCAAAGGCCCTCGGGCAGCATTTCCTGTGTGCATTAACTCATGCACCTATGCATTCCCGAGATGTGTGCTGAGTCTCAGCCCTGTGCCAAGTGGCATAACAGGTGCTGGGGTTTCCATATCACTGACTGCTAGCATTGTCTTGAAATGCATTGTTGTGGGCCCAGGATGGTAGTGCACACCTATAATACCAGCTCCTTGGGAGGCAGAGGTAGGAGGATGGATGGTCTAAAGCTGGGATGCTGGTCCAGGGAAAAGCAAACTAAAAGCCAGTGGGCTGGAGGCATGGCTCAAGTGATATATAGTGCTTATGTGTGAGGTCCTGAGTTCACTCTCCAGTACCGTCAGAAGAAGAAAGGGAAAGGAACGAGAGGAAAAGCAATGCATCATTACAGCAGCTTCCTGGTCAACTGGTTTGCAAAGGTCTTCATGAAGGAAAGCTCCAGAAGGTGGAAATGTGTCTATCTTGGCCTCTCCTCAGGACACAGGAGAGGACAAGGAGAAAGGCCGCTGGTGGCCTTGGAGGGACATTAAGGCAGCCAGGCTGAGTGTGAAGTGCGTGCAAAGTCCCAGGGGGCAGGACAGGTCACAGAAATGGAAGAGGTTAGGCATGAGGGCCCCACAGGAGCTAGAAGGTGAGGCAGGCGTTGGCTGGGGGCTTTATCCACCTCATCTACGACTTCGGGAATGTTGAAAGGCTTTGAACTGTGGGTGCAGGGGCTGCTCTGGGGTTTAGGAGGTGGCCTTGCACACTGTGGGTGGAAGGGAGTCGGAGGCCTGGTCATGGAGCAAACAGAGAGGCAGGGACACTGCGGCGACGACTCCGAGCCACACTGCTGCCCAGCTGCACTGGGCTGGCCTAACTAGCCCCCCTCCCAGCCATCCTTCCCCCCTTCCATCTTCTCTCCCTCCCTCCTTCCTTCCTTTCTTCCTCCCCCTTCCCTCCTTCTTTTCCTTCTCCTTTTCACTCTCCCCTTTATCCTCCCCCTATCTCCCTCCTTCCTTCTTTCCTCCCTGCTTCCTCTTGGATCCCTTCCTCCCTCCCTCCTTTCTTCCACTCCCTTCCCCCCACTTCCCATGGATGCTGGCCTGATGTCCCAGGTGTAGCAGTCTCCGGGACTGGGGTGGTGTGGGTTCAAGTCCTGGAGATGGGGCGTCCATTGCTGAGTCTGTAAACAAACACGCATTTCCCTGCGCCTCTCCGCACCCGCGTGCAGCCCCGGCCCCTGCGTGCAGCCCCCGCTCCGTGTCTCCCCCAGGCCTACGAGAAGCGCTTCCCCACCTGCCCGGAGATCCCCGCCTTCCTGGGCAGCGAGGTCCTGAGCGAGTCCAGCAGCGCCGACGGGGCGGTGCGCGTGGTGGAGCGGAGCTGCCGGCTGCGCGTGGAGGCGCCCGGGCTGCTGCGGAAGGTGCGGGGGTGACTGGGCGCCAGAGTGGAAGGGGGAGTTGGGGGTCAGAATGGAAGGGGGGATTGGAGGTGAGGATGGCGGGGCCGAGTCAGATGGAGGGGCAGGGTTAGGACGGAGGGGCGGAGTCAGCTGGAGGGCGGGGCCTGCTGGAGGGGCGGAGTCAGATGAAGGGGCGTAGTCAGGCAGAGGGGTGGAGTCAGGTGGTAGGGCGGAGTCTGTTGGGGGCAGGGGTCTGTCGGGGGCGGAGTCAGATGGTGGGGCGGGGTCAGTGGAGGGGCGGAGTCATGTTGGAGGGCGGGGTCTGTTGGGGGCGTGGTCTGCTGGCAGGACGGGGTCGGTGGCAGGGCGGAGTCATGCTGGAGGGCGGGTCTGTTGGAGCAGAGTCAGTGGAGGGGCAGTCAGGTGGGGGCGGAGTCGTGTTGGAGGGCGGGGTCTGTTGGGGCGGGGTCTGCTGGCAGGG